AACTCATCGTCATCAAAGTCCAGGATGGGAAACAGGGGCGGCTGGGGCACCGCCTTTTTCATGTCATTCTGTGACCGCACTCTACGCAGATTTTCCTGCCATTTTTTGGCTTTTTCCTTTCGATTCCCGCACTGCAGATCATTCCAAAAGAAATTTGCCTTCCTTTCCATGGCTTGCAGTTTTTCTTCTAGCGCCATTTTACGAATGCCGCATTCACTGTAAAGAGAAACAACGTGTTTTAATTTAATGCAGTTTATCTATGTACCTGGAGTGAATAATATTGAAATGAGTTGAAAGTTACTTAGCGCTAGGCAGTGATGCATTAGTTTGCTCGTGTATGAAAGCTAACGTACTGTACATCTTACTATGATGCGTTTATGAAAATGATTTGTTTAGGAAATTAGGTTTCGCCACAGATTCAAGATAAATTGCGTAGTCTCGCTATCTGCCGCCTTACAAAGGCCAAAAATATCATTCCAGTAAATCTATTCTGCAAGAGTTTGAATAATACTCTGTTGATTTGGTCTATTTAAAATTCTTGCAGTTTTCCAGTCTCTTATTTGCTTTTAATTCTTCATACTCACATGACGTCAGACATTAACATTTGGCGCTTTTCTAAAGCTTGGCCTAGTCTACTCTCAGTGAGTTCTACTTGAGCCATCAGATGACTTCTGGTGTTTCTCGTCATCTCTTGTTTTTCTTCTGCAGCTCTTTGTCGCTGCTTGCATAACTCTACAATGCTCCTGTGTGCAAACGTAGAAACAGTTAGCGTGGCAATTTACAACGTTATTTAGCCTCGCCGTTTCTGTAAAAGTTGTATTCGTGCGTAAATCCTTGCAATCAAGAAAGGACGGGGGAAAAGCGCGATGTGTTTACTTGACAAATGGACGGGAAAAAATGTACAAAATCAGTGAACAAAGTTGAATCACAATTGTTACCTTGTTGTTTGAATATCTTCTTCAATTATTCTGATTGTTTCATGCAAATTGCAGAGTTCATTTTCCATTTTTCTCCTGGAGGAAAAACATACAGTATCTGTTATCCGTGCAAACAACAGCAACAAAGAACTGAAGAAAAATAACTAAACAAGCATCTATAACGATTCTCACCTGGACTTGACTTTTCTTTCAGTGGAACCAAAACAGTTTAAACGTCTTACGAATCGTAAAACACCCATACTCACAAATTTGAGAATAAAATATCAGGAGAAAATATAACGCGCAACGTGCACAGTGTTCTTCAACTGAATGTGTCTACGTACGTTGAGTGACTATTGTGATGTTTTTAACACGACGCGCGCGCTCGTGCTCGCGCAAGTCAAGCTGGTGATTACCATTCCCAGGCATTTATTTTTGACAATCTTCGGTTGAAATATTCCTTGAACTGGATGTCGCAGTTACTTGGTTTTGGAAAAATCTATCTTTCTCTAACATTTCGTCTGGAAACCTGTTTCGATCTGGTGTAGGACAAGAGTTAATCGGCTTTTTATGAAAGATCACCAACCACTTTTCACGGAGGAACCTCTCTCCCTGCAATGGCATATTCCTTACTCATTTTTAAAGGGTGCAACCCCCGCGTCCAGGAATTGGTTGGGTACCTTTACAGGAGATTTTTAAGAGGACCTCAATGGGGTTAACAGTCAACCGTCAGATAGCCAAAAAATTTACTGTCAACCGTCAAATTTGCAAATGTTTTACCGTCAATTGTCAAATGAGCAAGCGAATATTAGCTGTCAAATGTCTCAGATATCCTTAGTTAAGAACTAAACGATTGACTTAAGTGGAGCACAAATTATAGCACTAAGGATTGTTCAAATATAGGCAAAATTGTATCCTTTTCATAATGATTACAGCCAAATTTGCGCTTTATTTCTGTGTTAAAACGTCATTCCGAAAACTCAACCGTCAAATGGCCTAAAATGTAACCGTCAATCGTCAAAACGGCTTATTTTTAACCGTCAGTCGTCAAAACGACCCCCCTCCTTATTGAGACCCTCCTTTAATAGTAGTGTTAGTACTTTTTATGTCCGCAAGCAAGTGCGATTATAAAAACCCGCCTGTATTTCTTTTTTGACTTTAAGGCTGTTTCCATTGTATCAATCCTGCTGATATTTATGATGAAAAAATGTGACCAGGAGGCCATGATCACATTGACATTGGAAAAATTTGACAGAGTGGATGGAGGGCGTGGTATGTTGCTGTTGTGAGTAAACCCTTTGTATTCTTTTTCATTTTCTTTATTATTGGGCTTTTAAACTTCCCCCGCCTTTCAATTTTAATACACGGGAATCCTCGTTTTTTCCAAAGGGATGTTGGTGTGTGATCGCGTACATTACTGACCCAGTTGTCACTACACTGTAACAATGAATGTCTATTTCAGATACAGATCAAGGAAACATCTCAGTGATTTCAGACACTCAAACACAAACAACAATTTAAATTACATTTATTTTAACAGTTCACTTTTTTGACTCACAAAACATCACGTATAGCAATGCTTCCGTTTAAAGGAGAGTTCCTCTGTCTCTGTAATGACATTATCACAGCTTAACTCTCTAGAAGCCTCTCATATTGCCAACTCATCAGCACTTGTCAACGCTCACAATATTTCACCTGGCCAAAATACTGAAAATTTAGCATCCCTCCTCTACAGTGTTTACTTTAGTCGATTGTGCTGACACACGCGCTGGTGCTCGCGCGAGTTCACGCGGCTCTTTTGCAGATAAAGACAGCCTTCTTTTTGCTTAGTAATGGACTCTCGATGAATTTGTATCATTTCTGAAGGGGTAAATCGAACGATTTTACTGCTGCACTGTTACTTAAAAAGCTATATATCGCTTTGCTTTGGGATTAATAACAAAGTAAATTAAGAGAGCCGTTACCACGTCTATCGTGAATATGCCCTTTTCTGTGAAGTAAACGGGGCTTTCTTTTACTCAGAACTAGTATAAAAGGAATTAAACAGAAATTAACCACAAAGCAATGTCAGTTCTGTTCCGTTCCTCTGTCGAAAAAAACCTATAACTTTTCTTTATTTTTGACAATCGATCTCTGTTTAAAACTCCTTGAACGTGGATGTCGCCATTACTTGGTTTTGGTAAAATGGTCAGAAAAATCTTTGTTTCTCCTACATTTCGCCGGGAAACCTGTTTCGATCTGCCGCAGAACAAGAGTTTATCAGGTTTCAATGTAATATTATCAACCCACTTTTCAGCTATGGACCTTCTCCCATATGCAACGAAATATTCCCTCCCCACACCTTTAAAGGGTGAATTTCTTTCCCCCTTCCTCCCCTCCCGCGCAGCGAGGGATTGTCAGGCTGGGTACGTTTACATAAGTTTAAATGTAGTGTTAGTGTTTTTTTTATAAATCCGCTAGCAAGTGCAATTATAGAAACATACATTTCTTCTTGTTTTTTGACTTTAAGGCTGTTTCCATTGTATCAATCCTGCTGATATTTATGATGCAAAAGCGTGACCGGGAGCCCATGATCACAAAGACATTGGAAACGTTGGACAGAGTGGATGGAGGGCGTGGTATTTTACTGCTGTAAGTAAACCCTTTGTATTATTTTTTTCATTTTCTTTATTGTTGGGCTTTAAATTTCTTTTTTCAATGTTAATACACGGGAATCTTCGTTCTTTCCAAAGTGATTTTTTATTTGCTTGGTGTGCGATTGCATACTGAACCAGTTGTCATTACGATGTAACCATGATGGTTTTTGCCCATAGGCGAAGCCGTGTAAAGTCACTGACCTGATATGGCTACGATATCATGGTCACTTTCGGGCAGACTAATTTTTCCGTGAAAGAAATTGAAAGAGGTTTTAAAAATATTAAGGTCGAAATTAAATATTGCACGTTTGTTTTCGGGGTGTAAACCTTTCCTGCCAAAACTGATCTCCTCCCGCGCGTACACATAATTGAAACCGGCTTGTGACAGATTACCGTAACTAGAAAAATATCTTGAATTCAGGTGTGGTAAATACCTAATCATACCTTTATTGGTACGCTTCAGCAGTATATCAGCCCGTTTGGTCCTGCCATAGGTATTTCTGGCTAAAGGGAAAGGGGAGAACTTCTCTTTTAAATCCCTTACTAAGGATTACAATTCAGTAAGAAAATGCTAAAATATTTTCGGGGAATAGGTAGTTAGCACTTCTGTTTTCAGAAGATTGGATGCGATTAAATCTCTTTTTTTTCCGGGCACTTTGTCACTCTTCCACTCTTCGTAGGATAACATGCATGTAAACCTTTTTTCTGATAATGTGAAATTCAACTGGTCGATACACCATGCAGTCCTTTTAACCTCATTCTTTTACTGGCTTCTGGTATTCTTTTTATTGGCGAAAATGTAAGTTTTGTGCTGCACAGCCTTTTTTAGTGTGGTCACATGTCATACCAAACGGACTGTCATTCGATAAAGTTTTTGAAAAAGTTCTGAACTTTTTTGCAGAACTATAGTTCACACAGTGAACAAAAAAACAAAATCAGTCACGTGGATATTTTATTAACGTTGTTTCTTCCAGCAAACTTGAACTTTTCAATTAGGCAAGCTCTGTCACATTTAAACCCGATCAAAGTATTCATTCAATGTTGATATACATCCCTGGGTATGAATTATAAGTCTGCTGGAGAAATTTCTGGTTAACCAAGCACGGTTTCTTTTTTAGTTTGCTTATAACCTTTGCTTGCTGTCTAAATGTTGGAAAGGGTTTTAAACATTAAACAAGTGTGTCCAGCAAAAAAAATGAGGAAAAAAACGGGTTCCGTGCTGTAATTGAACCTGTGGCCGTCTGGATTGAGGAGCGACAATGATCTCCACTACACCACGCAGTACATACCAGAAATATCGTTGCAAATAGTTAATCAAATAATATAGCTACAGCTATGATTCGTCAGCGGTTTTCAAAGACAACCATTAACCAATCTTAGTATATACCACACAAGTGAATAGTGCTTTTCGCGCGCTCTGATTGGTTAACTCGGAGGTGATTAGCANAAGTTCACTTTATTCCTTGAAACAGGAATGTCCCATTTCAGATACAGGTCGAGGAACATCTCAGTGATGTCAGTGTCACTTAAACAATAACTTAATTACATTTAAAACAGTTCACTTTTTTGTCTCACAAAAAAGCACATATAGCAACTCACGCTTCCTTTTAAAGGAAAATTTCCGCGATTGCAGAACTCTCTTCCCAGTTCTCTGTCTCTGAAATGTCGTTATCAACAATAGTTTTTGTGATTGGAACATTTTCTTCCCAATTCTCTGTCTCTGGAATTAAGTCATCGAGGAACATTTCCCTAATTGCAGCGCTTTCTTCCCAATTTTCTGTCTCTGGGATGACCTCATCACAACTTAATTCTCGAGAAGCCTCCCATATTGCGAACTCATCGTCATCAAAGTCCAGGATGGGAAACAGGGGCGGCTGAGGCACCGCCTTGCTCATGTCGTTCTGTGAGCGGACTCTACGCAGATTTTCCCGCCATTTTTTGGCTTTTTCCTTTGGATCACCGCATTGCAGATCATTCCAAAAGAAATTTGCCTTCCTTTCCATGGCTTGCAGTTTTTCTTCTAGTGCCATTTTACGAATGCCGCATTCACTGTAAAGAGAATCGACGTGTTTTTAATTTAAGGGAGTTTATCTTTGTGCCCTGGAGTGAATAATATTGAAATGAGTTGAAAGTTACTTAGCACTAGGCAGTGGTGCGTTAGTTTGCTCGTGTATATGAGGTAACTTACTGTACACCTTACTATGATATGATTACGAAATTGAGTTTTTAAGAAATTGAAGTTTAAGACATAGGTTTCCCCACAGATACAAGACAAATTGCATAGTTTCGCTATCTGTCTACTGACAAAAGGCCAAAAATATCCTTCCAGTAAATCTATTCTGTACGAGTTTAAGTAATACGCTGTTGATCTGCCCCATTTAAAATTCTTGCAGTTTTCCAGTCTCTTATTTGCTTTTAGTTCTTTATACTCACATGATGTCTGACATCAACATTTGGCGCTTTTCTAAAGCTTGCCCCAGTCTACTCTCAGTGATTTTTACTTGAGCCGTCAGATGACTTCTGGTGTTTCTCGTCATCTCTTGTTTTTCTTCTGCAGTTCTTTGTCGCTGCTTGCATAACTCTACAGTGCTCCTGTGTGCAAACATGGAAACAGTTAGTATACCAATTACAAAGTTATTTAGCATTAGCGCTATTGTAAGACTTGATTTCTTGAGCAAAACTTGCCAATGTAGTGTAGATTATGAGAACCTTGGTTGTTTGAAAGTTGAATTTTCATTATAAGCTAGAGAAGACGGGAGGAAAGTGCGATGTCTTTTCTTGCAAATTTACGGAACAAAATGCGCATGTCCAGTGAACAAAGTTAAGTCACAACTCTTGCCTTGTAGTTTGAATATCTTCTTCAATTATTCTGAGTGTTTCATGCAAATTGCAGAGTTCATTTTCCATTTTTCTCCTGGAGGAAAAACAAACAGTATTTGTTATCCGTAAGAACAGAAGCATATCACCTATTCTAGATGATATGCTTCTGGTAAGAACAACAGGAACAAAGAACTGAAGAAAAGCTAACCCAACAAGCATCTATAACGATTCTCACCTGGACTTAACTTTTCTTTGAGTGGAGCCAAAACAGTTTAAACGTCTGAAGAATTGTAAAACACCCATACTCCCAAATTTGAGAATAAAATATCAGACGAAAATTTAACGCGCAACTTGCACAGTGTTTTTCAACTGAATGTGTCTACGTACGTTGAGTGACTATTGTGATGTTTTTAACACGACACGCGCGCGCTCGTGCTCGCGCAAGTCGGCGTGTCTGCCTCTCAAGCTTGGTCTCATAGGTCACGTGTGCGCCGTCCTTTATTTTGAACTATTGTTCCTCAATATTAAGTTTTATTGGTGTTTCCTAAATGTTCCTTATAATGTGAAGTATATATGAAATAATTCATATTTGAACTGCGGTTGTAAATGAAAGTGAAGAATGATCATCGCTAAACTAGGACTTTTATTTTGGCCTGGTTAAAACATTGATATTTTTCCTGCTCAAGTTTCATTGGCTCTGTGTAAAAGAAAAAAAATACAATTTTCATTTCCTTAATCGAGTGGACAAGAGCTCTGAATTTTTCTTTCCTTAAAATAGTTGGTTTACAAGCCGAGACGGAAGTTTACCGATTTTTTAACAACAGACGTGACTGTTAATGATACAGAAAACCTGCGAAATTCAAAGTCATTCAAATTGTTTATTTCAATAACATCAACAATACATATGATAATACATATACATATCAGTTTAATTTACATGTTTTCGGCTCGGTTCGCGGCTCGGTTGCAGGGTTCTATCACGTTCATTTAGCTCATAGTCTAGTTCTACAACTACAGGTGAAGGCGATGGAGTGTTGTTTACAACAAACGGCAGGATAAAGCTTTACTGGATTTTGTTAATATTGCCGTTACACAACAAGGCCGCCGCTATCAGAGGAAAATAACAAAACGTTCGTAAAGTAAGGTTTTATTTTAATCATATCTTAAGAATATGGCTGCGGACATATGACGAAGAGTGTCGGAATTGGTTTTATTTAACTCTGATAACGAGTGCACTGTTGTTTATTGTACGCGAAAGAAATGTACACATTTTTATTGTATTCTCTTTGTAATAATATTACTAAATAAATTACTTTTATCACTCTACAAACTTATGTCAGTTTACTGAAAGTTATCCTTACAAGACTCTTTTGCAGATGCCTGACAAATGACGAGTCACAGAAAAGATAAAATTGGAAGGGCGGTAAAAACTGATGTTGAAAACCGCCACCTCCCCGCCACCACCACTAACTAGCATTTTTTATACTTCATAGCAAGAGTTTAGAGCTCCCATCCGTGTGGTACAGTGGCCTCTAATACGCATGCGTACTAGGTGAGTGCCTTATCTGTAAGACGTCGAGCATACTTTGTGTGGTACCTGTAAGTAACTGATAACTTCGTGTTGTGTAACCCGAAATTTGAACTTCGGTTTTAAACTTCGGGTTACACAACACGAAGTTACCAGTTACTTACAGTTACCCCACAGAGTATACTCGACTTCTTACAACTAAGACGCTCGCCTAGTACGCATGCGTATTAGAGGCTACAATACCACAAGGATGAGAACTCTTAAACCTTGTTATAAAGTATAAAAGAAATGCTAGTTAGTGGTGGTGG